TTTCAATTATATTTCTTTTATTTGAATTCATCATCAATAAATTTCACGTGACCCGAACTCAGCGCAAGTCATCGTATATAGTACATCACAAATAGGTATTGTTATGATTACTAATTATCATCGTTATTGTATGTTACCAAATATTATAATAAATATTACTGTAAGACCAATCGTAGTTAGTTAATAAATCGATTGTATATCTCTCCGACTTCTATCTGCAATATTTAATTAAACGACATTACATTGCGTATATTCCTTACTCTTTTCGTAAACGTTCCTTTTACTTAATACGTAAATACGTGAAATCGGTCATGTACTATCTCGGATGAGGGATAAAGAGAGAGAGTGCTATTGTTCTCACTATAGTGACGGGGGGATGAAAAAGAAGGCGGCGGAGGGAGGAGAGGGGAGGGCTCAGAGTCAGTGCGAGGACTCGATGTATGTATATGATGAGGATTGTAAAACTGATCGAAGGGGAAAAAACCAAGAATAAAGAAGAGAAAAATCTCGAGGTTCGCGTGTTGCTGTATAATTCGCACCCGGAAGAAATAATGATCTCTTTTCGTCCAGGCTGGAAATTAGGTCGCGCGAGCGCAAATTAATCCTTGCTCATCTCTGTCGTATTCGCGAGCGGTCGGTCGAACTTGCAGCTATCGATCGCCTAGATATAACGTATGCTCGGAGAAAGAAAGACACCGTGACGCGCGTAGTGCCCTGAAAAGATATGCGATCCAGAAAATCGCGATATCGGAATTGTTGCGGGTGAATTCAAATAAGTGCTTTACGGGTTTACATTTCTTTTTTTCCCCTTTCGGCATCGCTGCCGCTCTATCGGTTTTTCTGCGATACAAAATACAATTAATTAATTTATTAACCTACCTACTATGTACACATATCACTATGTGCGTATGCATGGATGGACCGGCGCGTGTAAGCGTCATGTATCTGTATATGATTCTGCATACGTACATAAATTTAGATCTCCCCGGACGCCGCGGAGAGCGGCGTCCGCATTGCAAAAGTCACGTTGTGCTTGCGAACCGCGCGACGACTCTCGCGAGGGGAGCCCCCCGAGAAAGAGAGAGATAGCCCGTCGTTCGTGAGTTCGTCGGTACTCGCGATTGAAACGTAACACGCCGGTAATCGTGCGATGACGAGAACACTCGTCGGTATAATAATCACATACACAGACACGACGTACAGGCACGTAAATAAGAAAACCGATCGAATTGAATTGATGCACGGCTGTACGTTAGTCATACTCGGTCGTTCCTTCGTCTTCTTTCCTCTCCGAATTCGCTTGTCAAACGAAAACGATTGCGGATGTATTTGAAATTTCAATGCGCCTTGATCGCCATCCTTCGCCATCGTTGCCTTCGACTACGCGGGAAATGTGTTAACGCTAAAACGCCCGAATCCGTTGGATCGTCAATTTATATCTGATATTTTCACGCAAACTTCTCTTCGCTGCCAATAAAATCTGACGGTGGTTTTAACTCGTTGTTGAAAGAATCACTTGTCGTGAATGATCAAGGAGCTGAATATCGCGAGAGTACGGACTTAAACCGCATTTGCGACTTGCATTTATTGAGACGTCTCGGGGTTTTTGTGCTATTAACCGGTGTTAATTCTGAAACACTCTGCATTGAAGAAGCAGTTCGCATCTCTTTTTATAAAGAAACGAGAGGCTCTCCAAGTAGGAATCTGTAGAATTCAGCCGTTCTAGCGTCAACCCTCTCATTTCCAAATTACCTCTAAATATCGAGAGAGACATTTAAATGTATTCTTACTTACATTTAGCGCTCAATAATTTAATAATACGATTTATTTAAGTTCGTGAAATTACTTTGTAAGTTTCCTTAATTCGTTGCTATTCGATTACATTGGGCATCGAGAGAGTCGAATCGCGACGTAACTACTACGTTCCGCGAGAAAGTTCACCCTTATATCGGAAAATAAAAGAGATTTGCAAGATTCCTTTCTTTTTTTTACTTTTAATTTGAATATTCCCGGCGCATCGACCCGCCTTACGACATCGCGCCGGGGACGAAAGAATTGAATTCGTCTTCTACGTCAAAGTAGTCCGTTATACTCGTGAGAAGTGCTCGCCGAGGAACATCCCGCCGACGGATCGGCGCGAGTTTTATCGCGCCGATAACCACGACTCGCCGCCGTATCCCGATTTTACTCATTTTCCCCGCCTCGCGTAAAAACTGCCTCGCGAAAGCTGCCCCGTGAAAACTGCCTCGCGAAACTTGTTAATTCCGCGAGTGCCGCCGGGCGAAAGGGGGAACGAGGGGTTGGAGATGGCGGCTCCGGGGAAATCTGCGAACTCGCGCATTAGAAAACTCCGGGGGGG